ATGAGAGTGTGAGCGAAAGCCCAGGATCTGACTCCAGCCCTGACAGCCTTACAGCTGGTCAGCGAGTCAGCATGCCCCTCTACTCGCCCCCTGAGAGCAACTCTGGGTCTTTTTCACCAACTCCGGAATTTCCAGAACCCCCGAGTGAGGCTCAGGGGGAAGCCCCGTCTGAGGTCTCAAAGAAGAGACCTGCAAGTAGAAACTTGAACCAAAATGAAAAACGGGCAAATGTAGATACACCATAGTGATTCATTTTATAAACCAATATGAGCTTCTTAAATGTCGCTACCTGGAATGTACGTGGTGTTCAGTCTAAGGACTTTCGAGAGAGGAAAATTAAATATTTATTAGACACTAATTATGACTTCCTCTTTACGCAGGAACTTAGACTGAATACCACCAGTGATGTTGATGATGTGTGTAAACGGTGGCATAAAGGCAAAAGTATTATATCCATCGGAGAGAGTAGAGCTGACGGAGTTGGCATTTTCTTTAAAGAAAAAGACATCACTATTATTAGAAGAAGGGATATAATCCCAGGAAGGCTGCTTATGGTGGATTGCTTTTATAAAAATGAAAAATATCGACTTATTAATATTTATACTGCCCCTGAGGCAACAAATAAGTTACAATTATGTAGAAAACTTAGAGAGTTATTAACAGTGGGTTATACAATTATATTAGGTGGTGATTTTAATACAATAACAGAAGACATAGATAAGTGTAGTACAGCTGTTTTTAAACTGAGGGCGGAAGGAAAGCTGTTGAGAGAAATCTGCAGCGATGCAGGCCTAACCGATGTCTGTCGCTCTTTGAATCCTGCTGGAATGGATTTCACGAGATATGACAAAACAACTAAAACCCGTATAGACAGGATTTATGTATCGAAACACTTCTCTGTAACCAACTACAAAACAATCTTTAATAACTTTTCGGTGCTATATGAAAACTAGAACATGCCCCATGATTAACTGTGAGGAGGACGAGACTCTCCAGCACCTCCTCATGGACTGCTACAGAGCTCAGGAGGTGTGGTCGCTCCTACGGGGCATCGGGTTAGACTTCAATGTAAATTATATCTCAATCATGTATTGTATTCTGGATGAGGGGATGGACAATAAACACAGGGACCTTTTTCAGCTGGTAATTTGTATCACATGTATGAAGATCTGGAAAACAAGGTGCAACATGGTACTAAATCAGACGATCATAAACAGTGGCACCATCGTGAAACAAATACTTACTGAACTAAGGAGAAGAAAAACCCTGGACAAATCCCAGACTCAGCCATGGGGCGTTTTGAGTCTGTGACCGAGCTGAGTCTCACTGGAATATAAACGTGCTCTCTTTATGTTATTTATATATTTATTCATTGTGTTTTATGTGTATTATTAATGTAACTTGTGTATATCATGTACTGCCAGAATAATTATAAAATAAAGTTAAAAAAAAAGAAAAAAGAAAAGGTGCAGGAAAGGTTAGAGCGAAGGCCAAGACTCGCTCCTCCCGGGCCGGGCTCCAGTTCCCGTCGGCCGTGTCCACAGGCATCTGAGGAAGGGCAACTACGCCCATCGTGTCGGTGCCGGAGCCCCGGTGTACCTGGCCGCTGTGCTGGAGTACCTGACCGCTGAGATCCTGGAGCTGGCTGGAAACGCAGCCCGGGACAACAAGAAGACCCGCATCATCCCCCGCCATCTGCAGCTCGCCGTCCGCAACGACGAGGAGCTGAACAAGCTGCTGGGAGGAGTGACCATCGCTCAGGGAGGCGTGCTGCCCAACATCCAGGCTGTGCTGCTGCCCAAGAAGACCGAGAAGCCCGCCAAGAAGTGAACACCCTGAACCCGCTTCTACCAACACCCCAAAGGCTCTTTTAAGAGCCACCCACTTCCAACTAAAGACATTTCTCCCCCTTGCCCTATATGTATTGATGTGCACAACATGTCATGTTACACCAAGTCACCCAACTAAAACACCCACATTATAGAGCAATATACAATTGAAACATAACCCTAAATTACTATTAATGATATCATGTATTGCAGGGTGTAGCCTCTCTAAAATAAAGCCTTATTTCAACTAAAGCAAACTCCTCTTCACAATGTCCTTCGTACATCCAGCAGGTTAATCACCACATTCTCAAATGAATAGCGCTTTGGTTTCTACATCTGTCAGTCCACATAAATAAAGCCACAGCGTTTGTTGGACCCATCATTAGTGTTTAACTCAGTTCACACTATCAGTAGCTACTTGTTGGCAGGTGTCTGCAGTTCACCGATCAATAGCGTACCGTAGCATTTAAGCTCTCGATGGTATCTTTATCCCACGCGCACATTGAAATGAAAAACAGGTTATATTTAGTTCCAGCCTTTATCCACCAGGTGTCAGTGTTCACCAACTAATGTTTGGAGCAGAACGAAAATAGTGGCTCTATTGTAGTGGAATAAATATGAACACACGTGTCTTTCTAACAGTTCTTTATTTATGTTGTATTAGCATTTTAAGAAATGAGGTACATCTAGTACATATATTAATGAAGTTAATATCTTTTAGCCAATTAGCAGTTATTTAATGTGACCATTGTTTATACCGTTAGGAGTTAGTTTAGTAGCTCTAAAACATATATGGCACAAGCTATTATACAGCACTATTTCAAGATTAGATAAGCATGTAAATATTAACATCTTGAAGAATATTGTTTAAACTAAACTATATTTTATGGACAAAAACGTTTCTCAACTTTATTTAAAACTCAAACACTAAGTACAAGAGCCACAATTAGAAACAGTGGCATAATAGTATAGTTATATAACAGTAATTATAATAATTGTATTTACATTCAATAAAAACAAAAATATTTAGGATTAAAAACTCAACTTAATAAAATATACAAACATAATTCTTCATGTTTGAATTATATTCTTTAAATACTGTTTATAGCTCTAATATTTTAGAGAGATACATTTCCGTGATCCATTATTCGTTCACTTAATTTGAATATAAAATTAACCCAAAATACATTTAGATTAATAAGGTCAAGTTTCATTGATTATGTATTGTCATATGCACAGTAGCTACAGTGTAGACGTGGCAATGCAAATCTTAAGTCCCAGGCTCCTCCAACAATGCAACATAGTTGTATAGGACAAAAGACAATAAAACTGATTAAAAAAAAATAATAATTCAATTAAAATAGTGCAAAAAGAAGTAGAATAAAATAGTGCATTTTATGTTGAAATGAAATAGTCTATATAGATGTAAATAGAATAAGATGGACAAAAACAGAATGTAAAAATAAATATTGTTTATTGTGGTGATATTGATTTGGACTCAGGCATCAAGCCTGGAGGAGGCTCTGTTTCAAGACCCGGACCACCCAATTACGGGTGTGTTCAAGTTGGTGCGTCACAAGATTCATGTGAGAAGTATTTAAAGGCAAAAAACTAAAACATACATAGATGAAGTTATTTTAAAAGGTTTTCAGGTTATGTGTCGGCTAAATACAGAAAAGTATACATCTTCTTGTCCTGCAATGTCTCTTATTTCTAATGTTATTTTGTTAACATTTCTGAATAAAAACAATGTATTGTGGTGAAACTGCTGGTCATTCATCGTGACCTTGAGAATATGTGATAAACAGTCAGAAGATAATGCTTTATTTTAAGAGTATGCAGAACACAAATACATGAGAGAAAGAAACAAGCACCTTTAACCTGTGTTAAATAATAAATAAAGTTAAAATCCTAGTCAGACATGTGTGGAGCCAAAACACCTAAGAAGCCTATTTAAAGTCTCTAATCTTCTGAGTCTAAAGTTTATTAAAGGTGTTTTTTGGAGCACATTTAGTGATTTTATTGTAATAGTCTTTAATGAGTGTAACAAATAACTCTAAAGTAATCAAGTTTCTCAAAAACAGCCCCCGATTTAAATGTTCCAACTGTTTGTGTGTTTTCTGTAAATGTAAACGGCAGGTTACTTAGTTTTCTGAAGAAGAAAATATAGGCCTACATGTTATCAAAGTGTTGAATTAAGTTAAATTATCCTAAATTAGTGAAGTGTAAAAGAAAACATACCGACTCTCTATCAGAACCGGAGTGCAATCCCACGACTCTTTTGAGTGTGTTTGCAGAGACAAAACTAACCTCTGTTTAACATTAACATATTTATATTAGTAAACTCTTTTTAGGTTAGGTCTTTAACCAAACATCTTATTTCTATGCCAGACTAGTTTAAGTCGAATTTGAAAGTATTTTAAAGCATTTAAGAGGGAAATTAGAGAGGAAAGTCACATATTTACGACTCACACGGCAGCATTTGAGGGAGGTCGAAAGGCTTCCCATTAAAATCATAACACAATATTGAGTTTAATTTCACTTTTACATGAAGAGAAACTCCTTTGCTATCGTTTAGGGTGAATTTTACAATATATTGTTTCCTCCAGGTGTGATTTCATTACATTAGTTCGTGAAGAGAAAACACAAAGTGGCACAGTGCTGCTCCTGAGAGCCAGGCTGCGATTGAGTCTCTACGGCTCTCATGGTGTGTTTAAGTTCCGCTCTTTGCCGGGATTTCTCTCTCCGTCTCACCGAGTCCAGAGAATCCTCTTTGAACGCAACATGGCAGAATCCGCTCCCGCCGCACCGGCCAAGTCCCCGAGGAAGAGAGCCACCAAGCCGAAGAAGGCGGGCCCCAGCGCCGCTGACCTCGTGCTGAAAGCCGTCTCCGCCTCCAAGGAGCGTAAAGGGATTTCCTATGTCGCCCTGAAGAAAGAGCTGGCCGTTAAAGGCATCGACAACGCCAACCAGGTGAAACGCGCCGTGAAGAAGTTGGTGGAGAATGGAGCCCTGGTGCAGGTCAAGGGATCCGGAGCCACCGGCTCCTTCAAGGCAGCCAAGGCCGCCGAGAAGCCCAAGAAGGCAGCGAAGAAGCCCGCAGCCAAAGCCAAGAAGCCGGCAGCAGCAGCAGCGAAGAAACCCGCCGCTAAGAAGCCAGCTGCCAAGAAGGCAGTAACTCCCAAGAAGGTAGCGAAGAAGCCTGCTACTGCTGCCAAGAAAACCCCCGTGAAGCAGATCACTAAGAGCCCGAAGAAGAAGGTGGCGGCCAAGAAGGCAGCACCCAAGAAGACAGTAACCCCCAAGAAGGCAGCGACCCCCAAGAAGGCAGCGACCCCCAAGAAGACAGCGACCCCCAAGAAAGCTGTGAAGAAGGCACCAGCCAGGAAAGCATCGAGGAAGTAAACAGATCCTCTACTTCATCTCCAAAAGGCTCTTTTAAGAGCCACCCACATACACCAAAAGAGCCCTCTCCTGTTTTAATATTACATGTTTATATTTTTATAACACCAGACTGCCTTACTTTTTACAATAAGTAAATTAACTGATATAAAGATGACTTGAATGAAACATGTTACCTGGTAAACTACATTCATCCATTTCCTCTTAGTATAATACATTTAATGATGTTGTTATAAAGACATCTACTTACATATTCTCTAACATTATCCCTTACATGTACATTATTTCCTATAGACATTGTTTTAAAATACATATTTCATAATGACATACTATTATATGAAAACGTGTCTTTACTACACATGAACTATTCCCCTCACCCCCTGCAGCTGGACAGACAGCGGAGCTCCTTCTCCCACAGACTTACAGTCAACAGTCATTGGAGGCAGTCGCAATTTCTACAGGCTCGCACTACCTGTTAGCATCTGTTAGCATCTAGCTCTCCTGCTTACAAACTTTTAGCCATCCCTGCTTATACAAGTAGTAGTTTTAGTTATCTGCGATCTGCGGAGGCCTACTCCCACCTGTGAGTACGGCTGTACTGAGGTGTTTTTCCTCCGGAGACGTCGCGAAGAGACGGAGCGGCTCCACCTGTTGCTGCCTGCGATCTGCGATCTATGGAGGCCTGCTCGTCGCGAAGAGACGGAGCGGCTCCACCTGTTGCTGCCTGCGATCTGCGATCTACGGAGGCCTGCTCGTCGCGAAGAGACGGAGCGGCTCCACCTGTTGCTGCCTGCGATCTATGGAGGCCTGCTCCCACCTGCACGGCTGCACTGGAGAGGTTTTTACCCCGGAGTCGTCGCGGAGAGACGGAGTGGATCCACGCTTCGGGCTTGGCCTGCTTCCACCGGGCGTGTGCTGCTGTACGGAGGAGGATTTTACCACGGCTGGGGCCTGCTTTCCACCTGTCCTGGTTCTGCTGTCGCAGAGGCCTGCTTTCACCCCGGGGATACCACGCTGCTGCTTTCGCCTGTCCTTTGCTGCTGTGCTGATTTTGCTCCAGGAACATCGCGGATACTGTGTGCTGGTCTGGGAAAATGGCCCATATCGGGATTCTGCTGTGCCTGTTAACTGTTTTGGACTATGAGAAGATCTCTAGTCATTCTGAGGAGTCTACTGGACTCAGGTCTGTTCTGCCACCCGCAGTGGGCATCCCCTGCAAAGGTTCGGATGTGTTGCTCAAACAATTACCGGTTGCCTTATCACAGACAATCTGCTCGACAAAATATGTTTGTCTTTTTTGTTTTCCTGCGATGATGGTTCTTCAGGACTGCTTCTTAAGCTCTAATCACACTCTCGCAGACTTTTCCGGTGTTTCTAAAGTAGATGATGTATGTGTGTCGCTTAAGAGGAAAAGATGCCTGGTTTTGTTGTTGTTATTACTGTCAGGAAATGTACAACCTAACCCTGGTCCGCCCAGTAGTAGTAGTCAGATCGCTACTCCTGCTGATTTTAAAGCTAGGTCTGGGTTGGGTTTCATCCACTTGAATGTGCGCAGTCTGTTAGGTAAACTAGATTTTGTCCGTATCTGGGCTCGACTGAGGCCGACGTCATTGTTTTATCAGAAACATGGCTAAACAAATCTATTTTGCCTCTGACATTGCCTTCAATGGTTTTAATGTGTATCGTACCGACCGGCCTAATAAAGGTGGCGGCGTTGCCATTTATGTTAAGAATAAGTTCAGTGTAACTGCTGTAGTTTCCAAATCTATCAGTAAGCAATTTGAATTTTTAGCCTTAAATATAGAAGTGGCAAAGGGGCAACAGGTCATGGTCGTGGGCTGTTACAGACCCCCCTCAGCTGTCAAAGACTCCTTGTCTTCACTAGCAAATCTTTTATCACAAAGACTACAAGGAAATAGTGCTACTTGGAGATGTTAACTGGGACTGGTTAACTGCAGTGTCAGAGGATTTTAAAAACCTTTGTATCTCTTTGAATGTTACTCAGATTGTTGACAGTCCTACTCGCCCTAATATTAAGTCCCCAAATAAATCCTCCCTAATTGATCTCATTCTAACTAATGTTCCCTATAAATACTCAGCTGTGGGAGTATTTGAGAATGATCTGAGTGATCACTGTGTTGTAGCCACAATTAGGGACACTAAGGTCCAAAAGGTTAAACCTGGTATTATCATCAAGAGAGACATCAAACATTTTGTGGAGCAGGGTTTTGTGCATGATCTGTTTGGGTTTGATTGGGGAAAAATCGATCTGTGTGCTGATGTAGAAACCGCATGGTCTTATTTTTATCTTGGTTTTATGGAAATTATAGATAGACATGCACCCCTGCGTAAATTTAGAGTGAAGGGACGAGACAATCCTTGGTTTTCTGCTGAATTATCTATTCTCCTACATGAGAGAAACAAGGCCTGGGCAAAGGCTAGGAATTCAGGCTCAGAGGTAGAATGGCTGCGTTTTAGGCAGCTAAGGAATAGCTTCACTTCACATGTCAAAAGTGCTAAATCAAAGTATTATCTGTCAGTTACCACAAAGAACCTGAACAACCCTAGAAAATTCTGGAAAGCCATAAAATCGATATCCACCGGTGATATCCGTAATGAGCTACCTCCGGAAGTCAGCTTATGTCCTGCCACTACTAAAAGGAGGGGAGGCCAGCTTATTAAACAATTATAGACCCATCTCTAAGTTGTCAGTTCTGGCCAAGGTTCTTGAACGCCTAGTGAGTGAACAGGTAAAGGTAGTTTTTATGTAACAATGACATCCTGTCTGAACATCAGTCAGGCTTCAGAAAGCAACACAGCACCATCACTGCCACAATGAAAGTGGTGAATGATGTTACGAGTATTTTAGATAATAAGCAGAGTTGTGCAGCTCTATTTATTGACCTATCCAAAGCTTTTGATACCGTCGATCATTGCATTTTGAAGCAAAGGCTGGTCAGTATCGGCATGTCCAGCCATGCAGTGGGTGGTTTGTAAACTACCTCTCTGAAAGATCCCAATGTGTTCAGTTTGATGGGCTGTCTTCTGAGTGGTTAAACATCACTAATGGTGTACCACAAGGTTCAGTTTTAGGTCCGCTATTATTCTCTATCTATATTAATAGTTTAGGTGAAAATGTCGAAGGAGCAACCTTATATTTTATGCGGACGATACCGTTATGTACTGTGCAGGTCCCTCGATTAACGAGGCTGTTGTTAAATTACAGGCTGTTTTTAACATTATTCAGGCTCAGCTCTCTGAGCTTAAGCTTCTTTTAAATGTGGATAAAACCAAAGTAATGCTCTTTTCTAAAGCTAAAGCTAAAAATACACCAGAGACTGCTTTGGATATTGTAACTACGCAAGAAATACAACTTGAAGTGGTTACCTGTTACAAATACTTGGGTATCTGGCTTGATGACTGTCTCACTTTTAAACTTCATGTCAATAACCTGCTTAAAAAGCTGAGGGCTAGGCTAGGTTTATTTTTCAGAAATAAGTCCTGTTTCTCGCTTGAGGCCAGGAAAAGGCTAGTCACTGTGACCTTTTTACCTGTGCTGGACTCTGGTGATTTGTTATATATGAATGCACCTGCCAATTACCTGAGCAAGTTAGATGCTGCGTATCACAGCGCACTGAGATTTTTGACAAATTGTAAAGCACTGACTCATCACTGTACCCTGTATACCAAGGCGGTTTTGCCATCACTTACTGTACGGAGGCTCAGCCACTGGTACTTTTTCATTTACAAAGCCATGTTGGATAAACTACCATCTTATATCTGCTCCCTGATCTCTCTGCGAATTGAAAGTACTTATTGCCTGAGATCGCATGCTGTGGTTTTATTAAATGTGCCAAGTGCTAGGACTGTCTTAGGGAAGAAAGCTTTTAGATGTGCAGCTCCACTAACATGGAACAGTCTGCAAAAAGAATGGAAAATTACCAAGCTAGTACCACTACATGTTTTTAAAGCTCGGTTGGATGCTACAAAATCAGATGCTGTTGGTACCTGTACTTGTGGTTAAATATGTCAATTGTAATCCCTGTACATTTTGCTGTATGATGTCCTTTTGTTGTTCTGTTGTTGATGTCTTCTTGTGGAACCTACTGCTGCAGGTCTCCCTTGAAAAAGAGATCATTGATCTCAATGGGATTTTACCTGATAAATAAAGGTTTTGAATTGAATTGAATTGAGACTGATCCAGCGTCTCCTCCGGCTGGCAGAGAGCTCTCTTTCGCTTCCCCCTCTCCAGAACCATGAACCCTCTGCACAACAGCAACCTTGCACATCTGTCATTTATATACTTTGCTATATAAGTCAACTACATGTAAACATTTGAATCCATCCACAATATTCTATAATGTCAATCATTTTTAATATATGTATTTTCTTCTATACTTATATTCACTGTTTATTTTATTTTGTATCTTATTACTTCTATACTTTATTCAAACGTTTTTTATTGTGTATTGCCTGAATACACTGTAACATAATCATTCAGTACATTATTGAAATGATATCATGTTATCACAATTCAAATTAAACTTAAATGAAAAAAGGTTACTGAAACAATATTATATAAAACCCACAAGTTTATTATATATGAAGTAAAACAATCGTGCATTGTAGAATACTAATCATATTATAGTACAGCACGTTACCTTTGTGTACTTTTTAAACATAATAGTTGTGGTTCTCATCCAATGCTTCATATAATTATGACTTCATACTGTTACACATGAAAGGTTAAAATGTCTTTCCATGTTGTCAGATCAGATCAGAAGTCTTTTAAAGACCTGAATACAGAGTATTACAGAGTACAGAGTATACATAAATGAATATACTAAAATCTTACTGACACCCAACATATTTTA